CCCGATTCTCTATTCATCCCGGGGCGACGAAGATGTATAGGGGTCTTCGTCTGGATTATTGGTGGCCCTGCATGAAGCGGGATGTGGCATGGTACGTTGAGCGGTGCTTGACCTGAAGGAAGGTCAAGGCCGAACATCAGAGACCTCATGGTAAGATGCAGCCGTTGGACATTCCACTGTGGAAATAGGAAGATATCACCATGGATTTTATTACAAAGCTTCCCAGGACCGCGCGTGGAGTGAATTCGATTTGGGTCATCGTGGATCGACTGACCAAGAGTGCTCACTTTATTCCGATTCAGGAGAGCATATCGGCCGAGAAATTGGCCGACATCTATATCAGGGAGATCGTGGCGCGGCACGGGGTGCCGGTATCGGTGATCTCGGACAGGGATGTGCGTTTTACTTCCAGGTTTTGGAAGAGATTCCATGATGAGTTGGGCACTCGTTTGCATTTTAGCACCGCCTTTCACCCGCAGACGGATGGCCAGAGCGAGCGGACCATCCAAACTTTGGAGGATATGTTGCGGGCATGCGTGCTAGACTTCGGTGGTAGCTGGGATACCTACCTTCCCCTAGCCGAGTTCTCATACAACAACAGCTATCACGCGAGTATTGACCGTCCTCCTTTTGAGCTGTTGTACGGACGAAGGTGCAGGATCCCGATATGCTGGGGTGAAGTTGGCCAGAGAGTCATGGGGAGCACTGAAGTGGTGCTCAAGACGACTGAAAGGATCCAGCAGGTACGGAGCAAGCTTCAGACCGCTCAGAGCCGACAGAAAAGCTACACCGACAAGCGTCGATCCGACCTGGAGTTCCAAGTCGGGGATATGGTTCTCCTGAAGGTGTCGCCTTGAAAAGGCGTCATTCGATTCAAGAAGTGGGGCAAGTTGGGCCCGAGATTCATCGGACCGTTCAGGGTTGTATCCCGGGTGGGCAAGGTGGCGTATAGGCTGGATCTGCCAGCCGAGCTCAGCCAGATCCACAACACTTTCCATGTTTCTCAGCTGCGGAAGTGCCTAGTGGACGATTCAGCAGTAGTGCCGTTAGAGAATATTTAGGTTGATGACAACCTGAATTACATTGAGCGCCCAGTCGCAATCCTCGACAGGAAGTCGAAGGATTTGAGGAACAAGAGGGTGGAGCTAGTAAAGGTGCAATGGCAGCACCGCAGGGGTTCGAAATGTACTTGGGAGCCGGTGGACGAGATGATGGAGCATTACCCCGAGCTGTTTCAGGATCGAGCAGCAGACTTCGAGGACGAAGTCTAAAATAAGTGGGGGAGATTTGTAGCACCTGGTTCCAGGTATGTCAATCTTATTGGAGTATTTTCCATTTTTAGCCTTGGACTCGGCGAGTCATAGGTCCGACTCGCCGAGTAGGGACGGGACCCGGGACACGTTTAAGTTGGCGACTCGGCGAGTCCATATCCTGGACTTGGCGAGTCACCGCTGTTGGATGAAACCCTAAGTTTCAGGGGTTTGCACCCTATTTAAACAGCATATCCGCCCCAACTCTGTCCCCATTCACTCCCAGAGCCCTGTGTCTTTCTCTAGCCGTGTTTCCTTGTGAGTTTGAGGTGTCTTTGTGGTGCTCTTGAAGTTTTTGAGGGAAAAGAAGAGGGAATCAAGAAGTGGAGAAGGAGGCCAAGCATCTCTGTGTCATTCCAACATTTCCCCTAAGGTATAGCTCGTTTCCTCTCTATTTTTAAGCTTACTGTCCCTTATAGCTCCATTAAAGTCCTTTTTGAGCCGTTTCCTAGACTGTGTATGCTTGAGGGTTCGTAATAAGTTGATTGGCCTCTAGATCTGGACAAGATTGAGCTCCAGGAGCTCAGATCTGTTAGCTTTATGGACCCATGTTGCTTGTTTACCCAAGATCTACCATTTTGAGTGTATTTGGAACCCTAAAAACCATATTGGTAAGTATCTACACGTAAAGTTGGAAACTTTACGTGTGATTCGTGTCCTAGGCGTCCAGATCTGTGAATGGCATGAACTGGAATCGAACAAATCTGTATATTTTATGAGTGCATGGCAACGACTCGGCGAGTCGTTTATATGACTTGGCGAGTCTGCTCGCGAGTCTCCGAGTTGTCCCCTTTTTGCTATATCGAGTTTGAGCAGTGAGTCACAGGGTGTGACTCGGTGAGTTGGAAGCTGAACTCACCCATGGTAGGACTCGGCGAGTCATGGCCTGGCTCGGCGAGTCCAAGGCAATCTTCATAGATCAAGAACAGACTCGACGAGTTGTTCATACAACTCGGCGAGTCTAAGCATGAGTGTTCATCGGATGAAGATGAACTCGACGAGTTGTTCATACAACTCGGCGAGTAGGATGAAGGACTTCAATGTCAGTTTAGAAGAAGAACTCGTCGAGTCATAGCCTAACTCGACGAGTAGAAACAGGGACTCAGGACAATCATCTGGGTAGGAACTCGGCGAGTTGGAGAGCCAACTCGGCGAGTCGGGTCAACTGAAAGTTGACTCTGACTTTGACTTAGGGCTTGACCAGGGGTAAAATGGTCATTTTACCCAAAGGACAGTTAGCAGTGTTTGATTGAGTATGTTGTGGGAATTGCAGTCGGAGGATTTTCGAAGCAGCAGCAGCAGCAGTCAGTCAGTTCCCAATCAGTTCAGCAGCTACTTTGAGGTGAGTTACCTTCTAGTAGTAGTGGGTCTAAGGCCACAATGCCGACCCACTATTAGGGAGTATATGATTAGATGATTGTCTCTGTGATATTCATCTAGGGTTGCTACTACCTGTGTTATGTTTATGTGTTTGTATGATATGATGTTATTTGCTAGTGATAGTAGGGGAGATAGTCCCCAGGTTACTGGTCGATAGGGCCGAAGGGGCAGTCAAGCTCAGCCATGTTAAATAGATTATGTGATACGTGTTATGTGGTAGTGGTAGGGGTGAAATATTCCTTAGTATCCGGTCGAGAGGACCGAAGGGGAGGCCAGCACCCAGATATGCTAGGCAGTATCCGGTCGAGAGGACCGAAGGGGAGGCTAGCACCCAGATATGCTAGGCAGTATCCGGTCGAGAGGACCGAAGGGGTAGGTCGGGCACCCAGATATGCCTGACAATTTACGTATGTTATGTGAAATCATCAAACTTTACAATACATAATATTCACTATTTATACTAGACAAAGAAGATGAAAAGTGATGTATGATATGAATGCTCATTATAGTGGTACATAACTACACTCATAAAACTCATAATAATGTTTGCTATAATGTTAATTAATTATGGAGAGTAATAGGGGAATATGGAGAATCCAATAGTCATTCACTAAATAATAATAATAACAGTTTTTTTCTTATGTTTAACTTGGAAAATGGTGAAATTTGACAATTTTAAGATATTTATTGTTAATTACTAGTGATTTAATCGTTTTTAAGATATTAGTTGTTTGTAATTTAAACTAATTGTCTTATACCATATGATTTTTTATTATTACAAGTAATATCTTTAAAATCTTAAAACTGTTTGAACTCCCTAGTGCGGTTAAAAACCATAGAAAATAACTGCACCAAATCCATGCAGTTAATAACCGAAACACAAAAAAACAAAACCGCACTACAATAATAACCGCTTAACAGCACCGCAAAAATAACCGCACCAAGCGGATTTGAACTGGATTAACCGCATTTGCGGTTAGTGGTGAAGTTTTGACCAATAACCGCACCAAACCGTACCGCGCTCACCCTTACTGTAAACCCTAGCAACTGAAAACCACTACCGCTCCACGAACATGGCGAAGATCCTACGGCGTACCTTGTCGATCTTGTACCCGACGATCATACGGTTTCTAGTGACGTAGATCTGTGAAAAGGGGCGATAAATGAAGGACGGACTGAGAAGAGGGACAAATTGAGTCGGGTTTGCTAGAAACTGACAAATTGTTTTCCCGGTGAACAAGAAACCCTCCGAAGGACAACGTAGATATACAACGTCACAAATGGTGGTGGTTTGAACGTTTTCCTTTCCGACAAGTTGTCGAGCTACATATCTGAACCGCAGAGATCGCTACCGGTAAAGACGTTTGAACGTCACCTAGTGGTGGTTTCTAATGTTGGGGCGACAACGATGGTGGTTTCCAGGAATAGCGACAGTGGTTTCTGGCGATAACGACGATTTCAGAGAGAGAGAGAGAGAGAGAGAGAGAGAGAGAGAGAGAGAGAGAGAGAGAGAGAGAGAGAGGTGGTGTTTATTTTTTCTTTTTGTCTTTTTTAATTGTTGTATTAAAAGAAAAATAAAAAACAAAATAAAAAAGATAAATTCATCAATTTAAATATTTTCAAAGTAAATTGAGCTAAACTCGTAATAAAAATCTTATTATTGAACTAGTGGTACAACTTCAAAATTTTTTAAACCAAATTCCAAATTTTTTACATACTATATCGACCATTTTTGCAATTTTATCTATATCAGTTGACATCCATGTTTTGAAAACCGGACCGGACCGACCGGTTCGATCGGGAACCGGTTCTTAAATGACAAAAAACCGGTATTCATGTGAACCGGTGAAAACCGGTAAAAACCGTCCGGTTGAACCGGTAAAACCGGTCAAATCCGGAAATTTCAAAAGATATATATATTTTTGTATTTTTTATATAATTAAATATAATTATGATATTATCCGGTTTTTGAGACCGATCCGATCGGTTGGACCACTTGAACCATAGAACCGGTAAACCGACCGGTTCGGTTTTCAAAACATTGGTTGACATATTGTCAATTTTGTAATCATCCATTCAATATGTTAGAGAAAGTTCCGAGTAAATTCTGTGATAATTCATTGATTAGTGATTACCATACCAGTTTACCATCACCCGGCGTTGTTACATCCGGATCTGGTCACCTACATCACAGGCTGCCAGCGCTCCTATATTTCTCTCTCCTAAATATATTCCGTGTCTAACGTCTCCGTTAATCATTCACTGACGGTAACTCTATTGTCGGAGTAAAGAAACCGCAAACGAAAGTCGATGAACTCATCCAAAACGCGCCGGAAAGTCGTCGTAGCTTCGGCGGAGAATGGGGACTCTGGCGACAAGCTCGACCAGCTCCTCCTATCCTCCGCCATATCCAACGGAGAAGACTTATCGCCTTTCATCCGCAAAACCTTCGCCTCGGGTAAGCCCGAAACCCTACTCCACCACCTCCGTCATTTCTGCAGATCCAAAGAGGCTGAGATCGAAGAAGTGTGCAAGGTTCATTATCAGGACTTCATAATGGCTGTCGATGACCTCCGTTCTCTTCTTTCCGGCGTCGAATCGCTTAAATCATCCATCTCCAATTCAAACTACCAGTTACAGTCTGTTGCCGGTCCTCTCTTAACATCTCTCGATTCTTTCATAGAAGCGAGAAATAAGTGCCAAAACATATCCCTTGCGATCGAATCTCTTCGAATTTGTGTCCGATTAATGGAGCTTTGCTCGCGGGTGAATTTTCATCTATCGAAGAATAACTTTTACATGGCGTTGAAGTGTATTGACTCGATCGAGAGAGACTTTATACAAAAGACGCCGTCGTCCACGCTCCGGAGGATGCTCGAGAAGAACATCCCTGCGATCCGAGCGCACATCGAACGGAGAATCAGCAAAGAGTTTGGAGATTGGCTTGTTGAGATCCGTACAGTTAGTCGGAACTTGGGGCAAGTTGCTATCGGACAAGCGTCGGCCGGTAGACAGAGAGAAGAAGAATTACGGATCAGGCAACGGCAAGCCGAGGAGCAGAGTCGCCTCAGCGTGAGGGACACTGTTTATGCTCTCGAAGAAGACGACGACGACGGTTACTCTATAGGAAACGAAGGCAACGATGTTTATGGGAACGGCGGTAATGTTAATGACGCTCTAGGTTTTGATCTGACTTCATTGTATAGATCCTACCATATCCATCAAACTCTCGGGCTTGAGGATGGATTCAAAAAGTATTACTTCGAAAACCGGAAACTTCAATTAACTTCGGATTTCCAGGTATCTTCCATGACACCTTTTTTAGAATCTCATCAGACGTTTTTCGCTCAGATAGCCGGATTTTTCATAGTTGAAGATCGCGTTTTAAGGACCGGGGGTGGATTGATAACGAAAATGGAAGTAGAAAATCTGTGGGACACTGCTGTTAGCAAAATGTGTTCTGTGTTAGAAGATCAATTTTCTAGAATGCGAACAGCCAATCATTTGTTACTGATCAAGGATTATGTGAGTTTGCTTGGTGTTACTCTGCGGAGGTATGGATACTCAGTTGATGCTTTGCTTGATGTGTTAAACAAGCACAGGGATAAGTACCATGAGTTATTGCTATCAGATTGTCGGAAACAAATTGCTGAAGCTGTTGCTGCAGATAAGTTTGAACAGATGTGGATGAACAAAGAGTACGAGTATTCCATGAACGTTCTTTCTTTCCAGATACAAACTTCTGACATTGTACCAGCATTTCCTTACATTGCTCCATTTTCATCCACTGTGCCTGATTGTTGTCGAATCGTGAGGTCCTTCATCGAAGATTCTGTTAGCTTCATGTCTCATGGTGGACAGCTTGATTTCTATGATGTTGTGAAGAAATACTTAGATCGGCTTCTGACTGAAGTCCTGGATGATGCTCTTCTCAAGCTTATTAGCAGTTCAATCAGTGGGGTGAATCAAGCCATGGTTGTTGCAGCTAACATGGCTGTTCTTGAACGAGCCTGTGATTTCTTCTTCCGCCATGCTGCAAAGCTTTCTGGGATCCCTCTTAGGATGGTGGAAAGGAGTAGGCGGCAGTTTCCCCTGACAAAAGCACGTGATGCAGCTGAAGAAATGCTGTGCAGTTTGCTTAAAAAGAAAGTTGATGGTTTCATGACATTGATTGAGAACGTGAATTGGATGATTGATGAGGCACCTCAGAGTGAAAACGAATATGTGAATGAGGTGATCATTTTTCTGGAAACACTTCTTTCCACTGCACAACAGATATTACCTGGTCAGGTTCTGAAACGAGTGTTACAAGATGTTCTTTCCCACATCTCGGAAACGATTGTTAACTTTTTAGTTGGTGAATCTGTGAAGAGGTTCAGTTTGAATGCTGTGATGGGGATTGATCTGGATATAAAGTTGTTGGAATCATTTGCTGAAAACCAAGCTTCTCTTGTATCTGAAGAAGAAGCTAATCAGCTGAAGAAAGCACTTGTTGAGGCAAGGCAATTAGTTAACTTGCTTCTCAGTAATAACCCAGAGAATTTTTTGAATCCGGTAATTAGGGAGAGGAGCTATAATGCTTTGGATTACAGAAAAGTAGGGATCATTTCAGAGAAACTAAAGGATCCTTCTGAGCGACTTTTTGGAACTTTTGGATCAAGAGGCTACAAGCAAAATCCAAAGAAAAAATCCCTAGACTCTTTAATTAAGAGGCTCAAGGATGTCAACTAACACCCTGTGTCTACTCTACTTTCTTCAAGATTCCCAGGTATCTTTCTCTTTGCCTTTATTTCATATAGTTGACATTTTTTTTTTTGAACTTTAGCTTTTCTTACTAGTTGCTTGTACATGTCCTTAGATACCTGATTCTTGTTCTGTATGCTATGGAGAAAAATTCCAGATTTTTAACTGTTATAGATGTGTATCATGAACTCAGGTGTCGCTTGAAGAGATCTCAAAGGAGTGGTGTTAGTGCAAAAGATGGTTCCGAGAAATTCATATTTGTTGGTTGTGGTTGTGGTTGTGTGATTAATTTTGTTTCTTGGACTAGTCCCAGTATAAAAATGCGCTCATTAATAGGTTGTAAGTAAAGTTAAAAAAAAAAAAAAAAAAAAAAACAGATTTGTGTCAAATTCTTTATTCTTATATGCGTATCATTAGTAATGAACTAATATCACGAGTTACTTGTTTGTTAAAGTTAAGCTAATTACATGTTCTGCCTATAACTACTTTGTTAACAATAAATGTGCAACTTAGAATCCGACAAATTGCCCACCAGATATGCTTCTACGATTACAAAGATGCTCCAAAGGATATGCCTTGTGCTTCCAGATAAGTTAATCAATGTCTAGCTGTTTGAGGAGACAACTTTATAACAATTATATATGATTATTGACAAATTATGCTTCTAGTGTCTCTCAATCCAGTACATTCTACTTAAACAACAAAATTAATTCAGGGAAACTGACATGACCCATAACATTATTAAAATAGTTTTTGAAAACTTTTATCATTTATGTTTTATGTTACTTTGTAAATTCTTAAAAAGGATGCCCACCGGTAATATTTCATTTGCTCTTTGGGTCACCAAGGTTTTGTTTATACTCAACAAACCAATATAACAATTTTTTTGGGGTTCTAATTATACCATTGGAATGAATTTCAACTGAATAAACTGATATATAATTCTGTGTCGTTCGATGTAGCATTTAATATGACATAAATTGTTCACTTATGTCTATCTCAAGATGACATGGGGTCTATTGTGACATCAACTATGATAAAATTGTATTGTAAAAAATCCACTCTAATGATGTAAACAACCTAAAAAAAGCTTGTTGACATGTTGAATACTATTAAAAGATCAATGACTTGAAAAAACAAACTAGATTATTGGTTGTCATTTCATCACATTAAATAACATACTTTCAAAACACAAAATGCATGTACAAAATAATTTAACTATTCATTTTGTGGATAAGTCGGAAGTGTTATTGGGTACAAACACTTGGTATCTAGAAGCATTTAGATAAAAGAAAATAAAATGTTTGTCACAGAAAATCATATATCTAATGATTTAATGAAATAATAATAATTGAGAACAATGTTATTTAACTAAAAAAAATAAATAAATAGAAATAAGATGAATACATGACAGAAGTAACGAATTACTATATGGATGAAGTCGAGACAGAAACGCAAGGAGTTGATGAGACGAAGATGAGGTCAGATCTTCTCTGGCGGATTACCAGTTCATCTCCTCCGCCAACTCGCTTTCTTCTTCTATCATCATTCTTCCTGCTTCTCCACTTAATTTCCTCCGCTGCCTCCGATACGCCTACAGCATACGATGAGCTATTGGAGTACGATTTTCCGGTTGGCCTTCTTCCGAAAGGCGTCACAGGCTACGATCTGAACAAAGCGACTGGAGAGTTCAAGGCGTACATGAAAGAGACCTGTTCTTTCAAAATTCAGGGCTACGATATCAAGTACAAGTCAACGATTAGCGGCGTGATAGAGAAAGGGAAGCTGAAAAATCTTAAGGGGATAAACGTCAAAATACTGGTGGTGTGGTTGAACATCGTGGAGGTGACTCATGTCGGCGATCAAATCAATTTCTCAGTCGGAATCCTAGCGGCCGGATTTGAGGTGAGTAATTTTCTGGAATCACCACAGTGTGGTTGTGGATTTGATTGTAATGATATGGTTTCGGGTTCGGATCACAAGTTTTTGATGTCTTCCTAATGATCTGAATTTGTCCATGGCTGTGATGGCAACTGCGCAAATAATTCCAAGGACCAAGTTTGCATCATGAATTGATAATCGTAAATTGTATTTGATTACATGTTTCCCAAATAATTGTGTCAAATTGAACAAATTGTCGTGGAAACCGATGAATTGGCTTCTAAATCCAGAAATTTCAATTGATTCAAGTCCCCTGTGAATAATTTATTGAGGCATCATAGTTTTTGATCTTTTATAGAAACTGAGTTAATGCACATTGACTGTGTGAGTAGGACTCAAAAGAGGATAAATTGTGTGGGTGAAGGAATATTATTTAGAAAGATAAAGAAACCATGAAATGTTAAGAGAATAGGAGAAAAACAAAACATGTGAGTGCATGCGTGTGAGTAAACTGTAAGAAATCTTGACCATGGAGCCATACCTTTTGCTAATGACATCCAAGAACTCCATACGCCATAATCAAGAACATAGCATGAAGAAAGGTTTTCTAACCCCATAATATATCCACACATACAAAATCAGGGAGAGAAATCAAAGAAAAGATATTGAAAAATGAGGAACCAGTCTTGAATCAAGACATAAAGAAAGAATCCAAATAAGGAGATGCAATCATTGACCACATTATGTAGAAGATGTGTTTCATCGAAGAAATGAAGCCGATGATGACTGTTGTGAGTGCTCTTTAATTGAAAAAGAAAGGGGATTATGGTAATTGAAACACCCTTGCTAGGATAGTTTGAAATACAATTTAAAACCATTTGATTTTTAGTAAAACCAATTGAAAGTTTTAATTGCTGAAAATCATAGTCTCATAGTTTAAAAATAAGTTTTAAAAATACTTTAATACTAGTATACTTTTGTGCTACCAAAATATAGAGCTTTAGTTAAAAGCGTGAGATAGTAATTAATTTAACAATTATCACAGGTTCAAATGCAACTTCACAAATAGATGCCTTCAAAATATTCTGGCTATCTTCTAAGCAACTCCTAAATCTTCAACTTGAACATAACTCAAAATAAGTTAGACAATTTCTCAACTCAAAATAAGTTAGACAATGAAATTGTCTAATAAGAATACATGAGGCTCCCTAATTTTAAGAGATAGCAACCAAAATGGTATATAATACTAAGCCTCAAGTAATCAAGAGAAAAACGTATATGCAACGTATCAAATCTAAGAGCATCCATAACGGGAGTTCAATGTGTGAGTTGAGTGAGGTAGTAAGTCTATGTGTTATACAATGTACGAAACTTCATCATTGTGAGATGCTACTTTGATATTCAATAGATTTGGAGTTCAATGGGAAAAAGGAAAGTTTTTAATTCTTAAAGTTTTGTTATAAATTATATTTTGTAACATTCTATTGAATTTTGTAGATTTCAAAGTATTATAGGAAAAAAAATGATAGAGTTGTATGAATTATAGAAAACTGATATGATAATCCATTGAAATTTATAGGGTTTAATGCATTATTGATGTCCTAAGGATGCATAATCTATAAACCAAAAATCAAGAATTTAGTAATTCGTAAATTCTATCTAATCTAAAAAAAGTAAAAAAAAAAAAAAATTCCATCTAGGGTTTACTAACCCACAATCTATAACAAGAGAATGAATATTCCATAGTTCAAAGCAAATGGATAATTAATCATGCAAAATATTTTAAAGGATTTACATGCAAAAAAATAGAAAAACAAGACTTTTGAATAAAACTTCGTAATAGTTGCTATATTCCATTTTGTACCACGTTTTTTTCTCCTTTTTCGAGCGTTGGATTACAAATATTATTCTACAAAAAGCAACCAACCTCCATTACTCCATGCAAGTCTGCAGAATTAAACATCATCATATCTCCCATTCTCCAACTCTCAAATGTCTTCTCCGGCGTCAATACTCCCTTTTCTCCTCCACTCCCTTCTCCTTTTCACCTCCACCGCCCTTGCAGTCGCCGAGACACCCACCGTGTACGAGGCTCTGCAAGACTACGATTTTCCGGTAGGTCTGCTTCCGACAGGCGTAACATCATACACCCTGAACAAAGACACCGGAGAATTCGAGGTCAAACTTAGTGATACATGTGAATTCTCCGTCTCCGGCTACGATCTGAAATACAAATCAACGATCAGTGGAGTGATCAGTAAAGACAAATTGACGAAGTTGAAAGGGGTTAGTGTAAAAGTAATTATTATATGGGTGGATATAGTGGAGGTTACTCGAGATAGCGAGGACCTGGATTTCTCCGTCGGAATATTGTCAGCTGGATTCGACGTTGATCAGTTTGAGGAGTCGCCGGAGTGTGGTTGTGGGTTTGATTGCGATAGTTTAGAAAGTGGTTAATGACGAAATGATGAATATGAAATATTGAAATTGCCGACGAATCTTTTGGATTGGTTGCTGTAAAGTGTAAACGCTCAAGAATTAAGGAAATGGAGAGGTTTAAAAATAAATGTAAGGTTTTGAGTTTTTGACTATGTACATGTGGGGATTTTTTCAAAAAAATGTAATACTATAAATAATAGAGTAAATTACATGAATGGTCCCTATGGTTTGGGATAATTTTCATGTTTGGTACCTAACTTATTTTTTTAACTCGAAAAGTCTTTACTATTTGTTTTTGTTACGCACTTGGTCCCTAACTTATTTTTTTAACTCGGAAGGTCCCTACTATTTCTTTTTGTTATGCACTTAGTCCATACTGTTTGTTTTTGTTACGCGTTTGGTCCTCATCTTATTTAAAAAGATTATAATTAAAATAGGGAAAAATGATGGATATGTAAGGTAAAGTGAAGGGGTTGGGGTTAGCATTGTGTTTATTTAATTAAATTAACAAATCCAGGGAAAATAGTCTTTTTAGGTAAAACAGAGACCAAATGCGTAGCAAAAATAAATCGTAGGGATCTTCCAAATTAAAAAAATAAATTAAAGATCAAACACGCAAATTATCCTATACCATAGGGACCATTCATGTAATTTATTCTAAACAATAACCTGTTATGTTTTTTACAAAATAAGTGATTTTATTTTGATGTCAATCTTTTCTAAAAAATAATTTCTAATTTAATATACTCTAGATTTCGACCACTGTTTACACGCGGTTTTTAAATTTTTTTTTTACTCACCATTCTTTTTTTAATTTTTTTTACTCACCATTCTTATTTTTAAGATCGAATATAATAATCTTTTTATACAAAAGAGGCAACTTATAAGATTTTAGGTGATATTATATTTGTTTATAAAACATTTTTTTTTTTTAAAAAAACTCGAATTAAATAAAATTATATTCTTAAGTACATGCTTAAAAAAATGAGTTGTCACATGAGTTTGGTGTAACAACTGACAAGAAGGTTCCATTGAAACTAAAGGGAAATTTTTATAGGAAGACTATAAAACATGCTTTGTTGTATGAATTTGAATGTTGATCGATTAAGAAAGAGTATGAAAGGAAGATGAAGGCAGTTGAAATGAGGATGTTGTGATGAAATTGTGATACAACACTATTTGAACATGATCCCAAACACAAGGAATTCGCTCAAAGTAGCTTTGATCATTGATAAATTAAGGGATACAATATTGTGGTGGTTCAGACATATATGTAGGCGGCAACCTACAACCCCGGTTAGGAAGGTGGATGCACTTAATGTTAAGAGAGTAAGGAGAAGAGGACGACCAAGAAGAAAATTGGAAGATAGTATGGGGATATACTTGAAAAAGTTATCTCTTACCAAGGACATGATATCAGATAAGAAGAAGTTGAGGTGTAAAATTAAGGTAGTTGAATAGTAAGTATGATACGGACTAACTTCTTTTTTGTTCGCTTACCACTCAGTTTCACATATCTTCTAATGTTGTTTCTGTTAACCTCTATAGCTTTGTATCTTGCTTATGCCCTTGATATGTGTGTTTCTATACAATTCCCCGATGCTTGCTTTTGCCACCTCTACATGAAAATTTGTAGTCGCTTTCTTTGTCACATTAGTAATAATTTCATCTCTTTCCTCTTTATACTTTATAGTTGCTAATTTTTCATATTGCAGGAAATTCAATACAAATATTATTATCTATATGAATAAACAAAACAATTTTTATTTTACTTAATTTTATTATTTATTTAACATATTTTTATGACGGAGGTAATGGTCAAAAACAGATGGGCACTGCCTATTTTATATATAACTAGACGAATCCCCACGCGTTGCGCGATAATATAATTATATAGTTAAAATAATAACTTTTATCAAATTATTATTTAATATTTCCACTTTAAAACAAAATGTTAGTAATAAAGCAAAAATATAGTTAACATATTAGTTTTATTAATTGGGGTGTTACAAAATGAGACAAGATCAACAAATGAGGTTGTGTCAGTCTGTTGATCTCATCTCCAGATGATTGTTAGTCCACACTTACTTTTTTAGTTTGTCTTGTAGTTACTCCTTGGCTATTTAAGGAGTAGTCACCTTTGTATTGCACATAACATACATCTTTTCTCACATCAATCAATAATTATTCAGTCAATCATTCTTTTTAACATTCTTCTTTTTCTTATATTACTTTACATTGTTCATACTTAAATATCTTTATACTTTTAAGCACTTTGTTGAATCTCTTAATTCTGAGACAAAACTGGTTTACCAGACTTGATTAGATCTTTATTTCAAGTAGACGTTGATCTTAAGTTAACTCAAGGTTTGAGTATTCAAACCTTGTCCACGCAGATCCTTGCATTCACACTTACTTACAATGAAAATACTTTATAGACTTTTCAAAAGTATCATTGCTGTTAGCAGAAAACCTGTAACTCTCACTAACGTTGTGTTGACCCTCAAAACTACATGTATTCTTAGGTTATAAGTAATCAAGCAATTCAGACGATAGATTAGTCATGGTTATTCAAATCCACCCTGTATTTTTCTCGTACTCTCTTCCCCCTCCCCCCATCATGCATGCTGAATACACACATTACAGATGATATCCATCTCCATCTCCATCAAATCAAATTC